CCTAGGTGGTGCCTCAATGCACCCTGGCTGAGGGCAGAAATAGGCATTCGGCCATGGGCATTTTTGACGTTTCCCCCATAAAAAGTGGGCGATAGCGTTTTGGGGGACATTCTAGGGCCCCAAAACCATCTGTCTTAGAGAGTGACAAGCTATTAAAATTATAAGATTTTATATATTTGTCCAGATACAAAAAAAATTTAACATTTTCGATTTCACAAGAAATCAAAAAATATACTTCCTGATACTTTTGGGCTTGGAGTGGTCACATAAGAGGACTTTTGGCAATCAAAGATCACTGGTTTACGCCTATATTAATTTCATTTTGAAAAGGTTAAAGTATTACAATATTTGAATTAAGGTTTTGTAATTTTTTGTATAGTGTATTATGATTTGATATTCTTTTATTTTATGTTTTTCTTTTGTGATATTTTTAAATATTTGTGGTTGAAAATTTTGTGAATATTTAGTGGTTTGGGCCTATATTGTATTAATTTTGAAAATCTTAGTACACTACAATGTTTCAACTAGGGTTTGGTATTTTTGTGTATAATGTGTTATGATTTGATATTCTTTTCTTTTTTTCGTCTCTTTTGTGATATTTTTACATGTTTGTAGTTGGAAATTTTTGTGAATATTTACCAGTTTGGGCCTATATTTGTGAATAGTTTGAACTAAATTGATAATTTTGTCAATATTTAAATTGGAAAATCAAATTTTAGGGATATTATGTTATGTGACATTATGTGATTGATATTTTGTGAATATTTAGATTGGAAAAACCAGATCTTGAGGATATTACGTTATGTGATATAATGTGATTGATCCTTTTATCAGTTTATGTAATATGTATACTTTGAGTTTTGTTGCCATTTGCCAAATGCCAATTTGATTTGTTTTTTTTTTATATGAATGTGATGAATGATGATGTCTATGATTATTTATTGTTTCCATTTTCAAGGTTTTGGCATCCTAAAACTACCCTAAGAACTCCCTAAGCCCTTGCTCTAAGAACTCCCTGGGGGCCTGAACCTATTCGCGGTGGCCAGACCGCCCTTGTTTCTGGGCGCCCGCCTAACTCTCTAGGCAGCCAGCCCCCCAAAACCCCTAAACCGGTGCCTCCAAGTTTTTGAACATTTATTACACATTATAATAGAATCTTCTTGAAGGAAATCAATTCCAAAAGTAGGAGCAACGTCATTATTATTTTAAAAGCTCGAATGGGCTTGAAATGAAGTCCTGAGCAAAATACAGACAACTCGACAACTTCTCAACTTTATGGATGTTCTAAATTTGCAAATAATCCAGACAAAAAATGAGATTAAAGCTGCTTTAAATGCTCTAATATTATTACAAAGTTGATGTTATATCATTTCAAAATTCAGGTTGGAGAAGGAAAGAGCTTTTAAATGCACTAAAAGCAATATGGCCAAGGTTCCTATAGTGGCCAATGGGAAGGTGTATGCCAACACCAAATACAATGTAAAACCTATTTAAAACGCTGCTCCATTCCCTACCAAAACAATAAAGACAGAAAGACCTTCCTTGGGCACTATCAATATATGTTTCACTTTACGCAATAAGGAGTGCACCATTTTAGGTTTTCCAAAAGTGGGTTGCTAGGAAGTGAAGTTCATGGTTTTATACTGAATTTTAATATCAATATATAGAGAGAAAGAGAGAGAAAATGACTATGTGAGCCGATAGGCCTTTAGCGAAGTATAGGTTAGATGGCCAAGATCAAAGGAGAAAGAGATACACCTCACCAAGAGTTGCGCAATAATAAAATTAGCATTTTGAGACAAATTGGGGTCTGAAGGACCCCAAATTTTGTGCAAGTGTAGGTCTCACCTAGGTGCTTGAAAAAAAATAAGTTTGAAATCCTAAAAGAAAAAGGATTAAAACAATGTTCTGGAACTTCCCTCGAGCCTCGGACTCAGCCTAGGCCCGAGCCGAGTGTCCAACTGGACTCGCCTGAGTAGTGCACAAGACCAAAAAAAAAACCCTCAATTTTTTTTAAAAAAAGAAATTGCTAAAACAAAATAAAATAGTAAAAAATCAAAAAACAACATAACAATTCCAAATTAGCTGAAAAAATATATAAAACTTGGATTTAGAACAAACAAAATAAAATAGTAAAAAATTAAAAAACAACATAACAATTCCAAATTAGCTGAAAAAATATATAAAACATGGATTTAGAACAAATTGTTTTACAATTGGAGACATTTTAAAAAATTCCAAAGAAAGAGGAAAATATAAAATGAGAGCATATGACAAGAAAAAGTCACAAATCATCATTAAAAACATCCAAATTACATAAAATGCTTATACATCAGTTCACAATTTAATATTAACTTTTGGAAGAGACAACACAACGCCTATAGGCGAATGCTACAGTGATTTCGCCTATAGGATCATCACCATCCGAAAAAATTGGACGGCGTAAATAAAACGACTGCCACGGAGCTAGCATGTCCGTGGCAGTGCTGTCACAGACATACTAGGTCCATGTCGGTCAAAAATTCACGCAGAAGCATCACCGACATTGCGCCGTCCGTTGCGGATCCGTTCAATAAACCGCCATGGACATAGCAAGTCCGTGGCTAGGCGAAACACTATTCATTTTTGCCTATAGGCGTTTTTCAAACTTTTCCTTAACTTTTATATTTTTTATTCTTTAGTTACCCGGAGTTTTACCCAAGTACTTTGCTTGGCAAGGGACCAAGTCCTTTTTCCAATGCTAGGTTAAAAATAAGTCCATCCGCCATTCTAGGCTGTCCATTTCATCTCTTCTCCTTCAATCTTGACCTTCTACCTCTACCATGCTATAGGCCAATCAACTCATAGAACCACATAAGACCATTTATTTTTGTTACAAATAGGTTATAATCAACCCTAGCCGTTAGATGTGAAATTGGGTAGCTAAGGGTATCCCATTAAAGGGTTCAAAGTCCAAAAGAATTTTTTTTCAAATTTTGTGACACACTCTAAGCGGTTAGATATACATCTGACAGCTCTCAATGATTGTAGACCTCCTTGTACTAAAGATAAATGATTTTACATATACAACCGCTATATATATATATATATATATATATATATATACATATATATATATATAGCAGTATTAGTTTTCAGACCAATATTATTATCATTTCCTAATATTAATTACTAACTATTTGTCTTAGAATTTTGAACAATATAAAGACGTAATTTTATTAAATTAATACAAAATATATAAGATTCATGAATATATGAGAATAAATCCATAAAGAAATATTAATAAAAGTAACACTCCACACTATAAAATGGACCCAAAAAAAAAAGGCTACAATTTATAGGGCTACAAAAAAGGGTACCAAATTAACTTGCCCAAAAGGAAGTTCCAAGAGTAGACATACATTCTAAGGTTTAGTTTGGGTGGACAATTCATTCAAAAATAATTCCGTTCTCTCACCCACCCCTTCAAGAGTGTAAAGAGAAATAGTTTGGTCCACTCCACTATTCAAGGGCGACAATTTTTCCCTAGCTTATTAGGTGAACACTGAAAAATTCTCCCCCCACAATAAGAAAGAGAAAAGAAACTGCCTACCCATATTTCAGAGTAACACCATTCTTCATTAGAAATATAGGACCATCCATACTGGAGAAGCAAAAGCTACAACACTATTATTTCCTAAAAGCTACAACACTATTATTCCCTAAAAGCTACAACACTATTATTCCCTAACATAGTCCCAAGAGACTACCACAAAATCCAGAACTTGCCCTTTTCAACTTTGGGGTCTGCTATTAAAAAGGTCAGAGAAGTTCCTGAAGTCAAATAATGACTCAGCCTGGCCTTTTTCATGACCATCCAAAGAAAGACTTACACTAGGAACTTTCTCAAAAAAAAAAAAATTTGCAGCTGTCAACTCTGTTCCATTCAGGCAAGCTGAGATGACCTGGCCCGAATATTCGATCAGTTAAAACAAGATTCGTATTTTCAATGACATAAATGTGACAAGGATACCAGTCAAGAAATGCAAAAGGGACAACTCAATGTGTCAGAAACAAAAACATAAGAATATTATGGACACTTCAAAGGATTCACCTTACTTGGGTTCATTTGAACCTGATTAGAAGCATGAGGTTAACAGAGAAAACTATAAACTGTAAAGCGATTTGAATTCCATTAAGAAACAAAAAAGGTAAAATAGAATGGCCAGTAGGAGAGAAATTAATAAAAAAGACTTGTGAGTTGGAATAAGGACATTAAATGAAACAGGTTAAATAAAACATATGAGTTTGGGAATTTGCATGGGCTATTTCACAACATAAGAATCTGTTGTAAAAAATATACACGTGTAACGACAAAGATGCATACTTCATCAAACAAAGCATTCGAGGATTTTGTGAAGGAAAGTATGCATGTGTAATGACAAAAGACACGAAGGTACTATCAAACAAAGTAATCAAGGATTTGTCATTGAAAACAAAATTTAGAGTAATATTCCAATTTGAAACTGGTAAAAACACAACTAGAGAAAAAGAATACTGCTCGTAAACTAATACTATCACATTAAAATGAACAAGAAAAGCCAAGTATCCATAGATCAGACTTACGTAATCATTAACAACAGAATTCCGTTTTCAATTGAGAGCAAAGAATGGTGTGTGAATTCCCGAAATGGAAAAAAAAATAAGAGGTGTACACCCCACAGAGTCCAATTCCCCAATGCAAGTAATGGATCGGAAGGCTTCCTAAATTCATGCATGTTCTGCAAAATAGGAATACCATGCTGCCAGTAAACAGATACTGATAGATTGAAATGGGAAAGGCGAAAAAGGAAAGATTGATACGCTAGACTTATATAATAACAATCATTAAAATTTCAATTTCTATGGAGAAATAAGGGCGGCACATCAGTATTGATCAAAAGCAAACCCCAAATTCCTCTAGGAGTTGATAAAAAATGCAGAGCACATTTGCACTCTATGCTACTCAAGCAAGCTCATTAACTTCTCAATCAAATTAATGGATATATGAATTCATTCAAAAGACTATGGATCAACGTCTGTACATCAAAAGGATTGACAGATTTGTTCTGCTTTCACATTGATCAATCCATATAGAAACAAAACCTATAAAATAAAATGGAACCATAGACAATTCATGACCTGAGTCGAATATTTTAGCTTGCATTCCACTTAAAGACCACCAATGTGGGGGTTGAGCACGAGAAGAAGTTTCTCCGAGCTTCTCAAAATAAAAATGACCTGCCTCTGCAAATTTTTCAAAATACACAATCTATAAGTCATGACAAAAAATCACATTGAGCGAGAGAGAGTGAGAACCATAGTAAGAGAGACAGACCAGCAAAGCAATAGAGAAAAAGGAAAGAACTAAGGAGAGAAAATTTACTATAATTGGGCATAAATGTATGTGTTGCTCTGCGAAAGAAGGGGGCTATAAATCTTCATGAACCTCATATGTGTTTGGGTTAACATCAGGCAGCCATCCACCAGGAAGCAATCTCTGCAAACAAATAATCATAGAATAATAATAATCAGAAACCTCAAACAAAACAAAGAAAAACATACTAACACAAAATTGCAGAAAACCAGAGAAAATACAGAAGGAAAAACAACTTATACAGAGAAAGACGTGATAATCTGGAAGAAAAAGAGAAATCTACGATTATCAAACCTCAGCCTTAACAATATGTAAGAGATAACACAAAAAGAACATAAATTTTTGTAGGGAGAGAAAGGAAAAGAGAGATAACAGAATGCAATAAAAAGGACTTACATCTATTTTCTTCTGAATATACTTGGGCCTCTTCTTGGGTCTAAGAGCCAACCTTCCCCCCATTGCCAAGAAGTCGTCTTCCTTCTCTTTGCGAGAGAGTTGAAGGTCGATCTTTGGCCACCCACCATCACCATGCAACTCATTATCCTTTGCTGAACCTCTAAGCCTTCTAGGTCTCTGCCAAATTTCAGGCGAATTCGGCCGGAATCCAGCTACTGGATTCAATTCTCCAGCAGGTTCCGGAACTTTTTCGGGCTCATTGTCGATGGGTTTTTGAGAGGGGGGCTCCAAAAACAGGGGTGAGGATTTGTTGTTGTTTTCCTGAAACTGAACCTTCATGCACCTTAGGCGTTTCTGAGCTCCCCACTTCAAGTATGGCATTGTTGTTATGGTAGGTTCTGGTATAGTTTCCTCCATGGATAAAATCAAATAACTTTTTCTCTTCAAGAGAGAGAGAATGGGCTGATGGGTTTTGCAGAGAGGATCAAAATAACAATAAGGAGAAGGTAAGAAGGGTAAGAAGAGAGAGAAACAGGAAGCGATACTGAAGAAGAGGAGTTCAAGAATTGTAAGTTTTTTGCAGATTGGTTTTGATAAAATAAACCGAGTTTCAACCAAGACAGAGAGAAAACAAAGATATACATAGAGAGAGAGACAATGATATTAACAATCAAGAAGAAGAAAACTAACAAGAAAAGAGGAAGAACAAGAGATTGAAGAAGGAGTTTAACGGAGGGAATATGATTAAATATTAAGAATCTGCTGCAAAGTTAGAGAGAGAATGTACGAGAAAAAGTGTAGAGAGAGAGAGGAGAGAGGAGAGAGAGCAGATGCCTGGGGAGAGGCTCTGGTATTTCATTAACAGGAGACAGGCTCAAGGAGACTTCAAACGGACGAGGGAAGAAAACGAGAGAGATAGAATTATAGCGTGACGTAAATGCCCTCCACATTTGCCATAAATAACTGAAACGATTAGTGAACTTGTTGTACCAGGAGTAACCCTGTGCTTCTACAAAATGACCATATAGGTCTTTTATTGAAGGTGACATTATATGGCAAATGTGTATGCCATTAATGGTTACTGAAATAGGCTATCCACCGTCCAATCTTATCAACGACGATGTTCACTCCAAACAGCAGCCGACCTCTTAGAAGGTACACCAGATTGATGGTCCGGTAGAGGATTCCAAGATACACCAATTGGGAGCAATGTTATTAGAGCCGGATTCATTCTACCCATCGAATCAGAGCAATCCAATCAAAATTGATTCACTTGACAGTCAAACTGGTTGAACTTGATATTAAAAAACAAATAATAAAAAAAGTAATAATTTAGAAATATAAAATATTTCAAAAAAGTTGTTAAATTTTTATTTAGTTGATCTATACTGTCAAACTCGTCCATCTAACTAGCCCAAATCGATCAACGTTAATGTTTGCTTTAGACAAGACGATAAAGGCACTCATTAACAGCTTGGTCCAGATTATTTGGCCAGGCCAAATCTATGCTATTTTAGGTCTTTTTGTTGAATTATTCGAGATAAGATTATATAAAGGGAAATAGATTGATAGGCCCCATCAAAATAAATAAAGCCTAACCTCATAACTCACCGAATATTGGAATTCAAGCCTCGAAAAGCCTTTATATCGATCATCTTGGACTGAACATTATGGTTGTGAAAAAAATTAAGATTTCAAGCTCTAAAAATAGTATATATCGTAACAAATTATCTTACATCGTCCATTTCGTCCTAAAACTAAATGTTCAATGACCTACAAGATCTGTATATTTTAAAATTTTAAATCTTATTTTTTATATTAAAAATCGATTTTAAAGTCATCATGAAAATTTCTATTGCACAAAGTGTTTTCAGAACGAGAATTTGATAAATTCATGTGTAACTAGTGCAATGAATGTTATGCATGAAACTTCACTTCACCCCAGCATGGAGTACTAGAATAAGATTGTTGGTCAAAGTTTGTCAAAATTATTATGCGACGAATAATTTATGCACAGGACTTTGAGAAGCCTACCGCAGAACCTTCACTGGACTCATTCAACACATTTTCATATTGCACCATTGAAGGAGCAATTGAAATTGACTCTATCGTAAATCATCATTTATTCTACCCGCAAGTTATTTGCCAAATAAAATCTTGTCAAAAAAGAGTTGTTTCTCAAATAAGATGCAGTTACTAATATTTCTCAAATAAAAAGAAGTTACTAATATTCAATATATGCAACGGGATCCCTATGTTTATAGTCCATGATATCTTCTTTTTTTTTCTTTTTCTTTTTTGACAAAGTTACATGAGAATCGAACTTGAGACGTTGGGCTATAAAAAGCTGACGTTGGGCTATAAAAAGCTAGCCTCTACAATCTTGACCCAAACCTGTTACCTTTGTCCATGACATCCAATTGACACATCTGAGATATTCCAAACCCAACAAATACTTAGAGATAGATAACTTTGATTACTTTTTTACTATTATTTTTCAGAGACTCCAAACCAGCAAATCTATATTACTATTATCAAGACCAAACCGAAAGTTGGTCTAACTCTCCGGATTATTCGTTAATGCGTTGGCCAGTATAATCTAAAGTAAAAATTACTAAATTTAATGTTTGATTGATTTTTGTATGCTAGATTAATTAATTTTGACTAGTTTGACCAGTTAAAAAAGGTTGTATAACTTTAAAGCAAAATATTTTTCTATTATTTTTCTTTATTTTTTAAATAAATACTAATACAACAAGTTCTAACGACCATAAAACCTATTTGGCGTAGACCATAACCCTAATCAGTTTGTTGTTATGCTAAGAATGCCACCACTTTAATCCTTAAATTATTTAAGAGAAGCCTTTCTATGTGCCATAGAGCATGAAATTTTATATATGTCATCCTCTCCCAGCTGTTGGATCTAAATGAATAGTAGGGATACCTTTAGCCATAATGTTACAAATGAGCATTGACCATTTGATCTAGATCCAAAGGCTCAGAATATGTCATTTTAATTTTTTCTACAAATCAGATGAACATGAAATTTGGTGTGTGTAATCTTATCAGTGAGGCGACCCTATAACTTTTAGGGGTACTTAAGTTATTTTATTTTTAAAATATTAATTTAATATTTTGTACGTGCAAGCCTATGAGAGGATTGGAAACCCCAAATCCGGTGTCAATGTAATTTATGTGAAAAAAAAATGAAAAACAAAATAGTGTTTAGACGTGACATTGTAATTGAGGCCATATCAGTGGTCCGTTCAAATCGAACGGTAGGGAGAGGGGTGGCATATATGTAGGAAACTCATATATCCCACCCCTCTTCTAGCCGTTTAATCTGAATTGACGATTGAGGCGGCCCAATCATAATGTCATTCCCAAACACTATTTTATTTTTAATTTTTTTTGTGCAAATCACATTGACATCATATTTGGGGCATCCAATCCTCTTATAGGCTCACACCTACAAAAATACTAAGAATATTTTAAAAATAAAATACCCCTAAAAGTTTCAAAGGTAATTTGGTAATATAGTTTTATGAAAATATTTCTTTAATATGTGTTTTAGGTGCACCCCATTGAGATGATCACACACACAAACTTTCGTCTTCATCTGATTTGTATAAAACGATTAAAAATAAAATACTCTGAGCTATCAGATCCAGATCAAATGGTCAAGGCTCATCTATGACATTATGGTTGAAGGTATCCCAGTCGTTCATTCAGATCCAACTGCTGGAAGAGAGTGGCATGTATAAATTCCCTATGTCCAATGGGATATACAAAGCTTTCTCTTATTTAAGGCCCCCTCTTAACGACGGCTCAATGTTACGTCCAAAATCCCAATTTCAGCATTGCATTACTAATGTTGATATCCACAAGACATTTCTTTGCACGATATTCAAAAATTCATGAATAAGTCTAGGTCAATGTTATCAAATTCGCTTCGCTTCGACTGTAAGGACCAATACTTTCTGGCCTTGGGAAGGCACACGACAGTAGGAGGCCGTGAAGAGAGAAGGGCAATGCCATTTGAGAAGAGAGAGAGGCAGTGCTGGCTGTGAAGAGAGAAGGGCAACGCTGTTTGAGAAGAGAGAGGGGCAGCGTCGGCTGTGAAGAGAGAGAGGAGCAGCGCCGGCTGTGAAGAGAGAAGGGCAACGCTATTTGAGAAGAGAGAAGGGCAGCATCGTCTATGAAGAGAGAAAGAAGAGCAATGCGGTGACAAAATTTGTCACCTACCAGTTGCAGGCTCACCCACGCCACTTGTCCTTGTGTATGAGTGGTGCTTGCCACTTGTCCAGCTTTGGGCTGCCACAGCCAGCAAGTACTTAAGCCTCTCACACTCACTCTCACGCCATTTTCATTTCTCTCTCTCTCTCTCT